CCCTGTGGGAGGGACCCCACCCTGGAGTAGGGGCAGAGTGTGAGGATCCTCCCCTGAGGAGGAAGGAGCAGCAGAGACAGTGTGTGATGGACTGACCACAACCCCCATTCCCTGTCCCCCTGTGCTGCTTAGAGGGAGGAGGTAGAGAAATCAGGAGTGAAGCTGAGCCCCGGAAGAAGGGAGGGGTGGGGGGAAGGTGTTTTAAGTTTGGCTTTGGTTCTCTTTTTACTCTGATTTTGATTGGTAATAAATAAATTATTTTCCTGAACGAGTCTGTTTTGCCCGTGATGGTAACTGGTGAGTGATCTCTCCCTGTCCTTACCTTGACCCGCGAGCCTTTCATTATTTTCTCTCCCCAGCCCAGCTGAGGGGGGGAATGATAGAGGTTTTGGTGGGCACCTGGCCTCCAGCCAAGATCAACCCACAACATATGTATAAATGTATGCTACCTATATATAGTTTTCACTTTATTTCCTTCAAAACTGGGGAATAAAGACTCAAAATTTTGGCTGTTTCTTATACTCCAAGGTCCCAGTAGAAATCACTAGGTCACTGCTGGGTTAGATGGAACTTTCCATTGATATATATGCAATATGGCTGGCCTTAAGATTTCAGGCAGTTTTGTTCCATAAACAAGTTAACATTGCTTTTTCCCAGTTGTTATCCTTTTCTTTGAGACCTATAGCAGTATTTAATCCATGCCCCTGACTAGCTTTGAGTTAGTCCTAAGTGTGGGGATTTATCTCCTCTGTTTCCTACTCCCTTGCAACAGCAGTAGCCCCAGCATCTCTTGGGTCCTCTGCTCTGTCCAGGAGTTGCAGGAGATGCTCTTTCCCCAGCAGTGACTGACCTTTCAGAATTAGTCCAGAATGTGAGGCTTCTGCAAATACAATAAATCCTTCCCAAAAGAAATCTGTGTTATCCTGTCACAAATCTACATACTACTTATGTTTTAGCATGGGATTACTGAGTTTATTATAGTACTTTTTGAACTCTCCAGGGCTAGCACCTTCTTTCCTGACAGCTCTACTCTTCATATCCTTCTCTTCCCACCGTCACCCCTTGCATGTCTATTTTCCTTACAAAACCATATGGATGGCTTGCCTTTCAGGAGCGTAGTGCGGTCAGGTGCATGCGGGCATGTTCTGTAATAATGAACAACATGTACGGATGCAGCTGAACTTTATACGGGCTGTAGATTAAAGTTCTTATGACTTTTTTTTTTTTAATGAGCATTAAGGTAAGCAAAATATAAAATGCAGGCAAGATCGCTAAGTATTTAGCGAATTAATAGTGCTCTCTCTCTCGGTCACACTGTAACCCCGAATGAAAGGTTCATTTGATACTGCTGATGGGAACAACCTTGAAAGCGCAGCTGAGGACTTTGCATGTGACTGGATAGGGCTTTCGGTTGTCACCGAGGTCTAAAAATAAATCACTCCTCCCCATTAAAGCTTGAAGGTGGTTGTTTAGTTATATGGTTAGAAATAGCCAAAGGTGGGTGGATGGATAATTCTTCAGCCAAAGATCAACGTTTATTGCTTGAGGGGAAACACTGGCCGCACGGAATGTGTGAGCACTCCCGGAGCAGACAAGAACATTACGTAGGCCACTGCCCAGCAATGAGTGAAATCATAAAATTTTGGTGCAGCTAAACTCGGGTACTGCTGAAGCATCTGTGAGGGCTCGCATCCGTTTGTGCTGTTATTACAGCAAGTTGTTGCGGGTTTGTCTGTGGTACTGCTTGTTTTCATCTTTCAGTTTGGGAGTGTCAGGGTGAAGTTACTTCCTCCTTTAAGAGCAATCCATTTACATGATAAAAGGGTATTTCTCTAGTAATGTTAAACAATCTGTTTTAATTTAGAATTTAAAATATAAAATCAACTCTAAAATATGAAATAAAATACAATACTTAATATTTATCTATTTTCCCCTAAGAAAGCACTGCAGTACTTGGGTTTGGGTTTTCTCCTTCCCCCCCAATTTTTTAGGTTACAGGAAGTATGACAAGTTATCCTACGTAATCTGTTTGATTTTGGGTGGTGGTTGTTGGCAGTTGTGGAGCTCTTCCCTGGTGGTTTTGTTGGTTATGTAATTAAGAACTATCAAAAATATGCACTGCAAGGAGCAGATATGTTATTAGATATGTAACACTAATAAAAAACACCTGCAGACTGATAATAGCTCAGAAGCAGAACAAAAACTTATTCAAAGCAGTAGGGTTTTTTTCCCAGTCGCAGCAGAGAGTGTTTTATCAAAACTACAGATCTACCACTGCATTTCTCTGCCGGGGGGAATTTTTTTTTTTAAATGAGTAAAAAGACCAACCACCTTCTGTTTGCCATGGTATTTTGGGTAGGGTTTTTCTAAAGATAAAAAGGCATCATCTTAATCAGACAGTTGAACTGTTCTGCTTCACTGGCTTCTACATGTGTTAAAGAAGTCCCAAAATATATGTCTTATTATGAGACAGAATACTGCATTCAGTATGTTTGCAAGTGGCTGCAGCATGACTGGGCTGATCCTGGACTTGCTGAAGTCAGTAGAAACGGTAGCTTTGGTGGGCTTGTTTTTCTGTAAATTTTTTTTTTTTCCAAAATTGCTTGATGAAAAAATGATGTATTTTAAATGTTGTAGTAAGGTTTTTGGTGCTGAAATATTCATTTGGGTCATTAAATATTTAAAATTGTGATGGTTGTTTGGAGTTTATTCTGTTGTTTCTAACCTGAACCAGCACGTAACTCCATCGTTAGAAAAACAGATGGCAAAATGAAATGTGTTGTTTCAGCCCTGTCATTCACGAACAGTGTCAGGAATGAAATATTTTGGGCTTGCATAATTTCTTATTTAAATCAGTTAAGAGAGAAAGAGGCTGCAAAAGTTGATAAAATAAAGGTATATAACTGGAAGAAATAATTAATTGCAGTTAAAAAAAAAAATCCCCCAAACAAAAAATAACCAAAAAACCCAAAACCCTAACACAGCAACACTCTGGTTGAATGTTTTGGAAGGGGGGGGGGGAGAGAAAAAAACAAACAAACAAACAAAAAACCCCAAAACTATGTAGGTTTACAACTGTACCCAATGGGGGGAAGAGAGCAGACAGAATCCTCTTCTAACAGCCCAAGCCCTGCACAGTGTTTTCTGCAGTATGGGCTTGCTTAAGAGGTAAAAGCTGTTTAACTCCACCAAAGGGAAGGCTCCTGACATGATTCTGTATTAGCAGCAGTTATAACTGATGAGCCAAAATCATGCCCCTCTTTGCTGAGCTGCTTGGTGCTGCTGAGTCTGTGCTGCAAGAACTGCTGGAGCGCTCTTCTGTGCCCTCAGCCCAGAGTGCATATATACCCATTAAACATTGAGGAAAACCCTCTGAAAGTTGTTGGGAATGTGTTTTCAATAGTCCTCTGTAGTTTTGTCAGCACAATCTGAGCTACAGCAGCGAAATGGTGGCCTTACCTTTATGGAGATGGGAACCGTACTGGTGGTACCATTTAGGATGTCCTGTGCGTGGACATCTCTATCTGGAGACAGGATGTCCTCTTTTGACCTAACTGGACCTATAGAAATTGGCAAAGATATGTTTATTCCAAAATGATTGCCTGGTCAAAGAAATACATGTATGCTTACCGTCGTCCTCCGTTTTATTAAAATAGGTGGAGTTGTGTTTGGAAAGTCAGGTGTGTTTGTAAGAGGCATTGGGTAGGGGTAGGATGTCCAGGAGTCCTTAGCTGGGCTTGGTCTGAATTTATAGTTGTATAGTAACAAGAGAAGGGCCAAGCTTTGTATCGCTAAACCTTAGCTAACCACCTCTGAAAACGTAGCCCTGTGTCTTCCCTAGTCACAGGTGAACGTTTTGCAGCCAGCTGACAGCAGTTGATGAGGATTGCCTAAGAAAGCTGCAAACCCACCTTTTCCAGCGCAAGGTGCCTGCCCAGGGATGCACGGGAAGATTTTGCTCAGCTTCTGCTTCAGTGGCATCTGTTCTGACCATGGGGCTGGTACTGCAGGAGTATGACTCTCTGTAAAGGAGGGATCCTGCTTGGGTCCTCAGTTTGGAAAGAGAAGGCTGATGTTTCAAAAGCTGAGGAGGCAATAGGATGGTTTTCATAGCGGGGGGTCGTTGTAGGTGTTAGCTGGCAGTGGCTGGATGGCATGTGGGAGAGGTAAAGGGGAAAGGCAAACTGCAAATCCTTCTTCCCGTGGCCATTATTTTAGGCAGGCGGTGTGTTTGCAAGCCAGCAACTGAATAAAGTCACCCCGCTATTCCCGTGTGGGTGCCTGTCCTGAGCAAACCGGCTGGTTTACGGGACTGCAGAGGTAGTTAAGAATTCTTTGGGATTTCCAGTGGAAGAGTAGGTTTGTAACATAAGTTAATGACAGGATTTTTTGATTTTGTCTAATTATACACTTCTCTACACGGAGGCTCTAAAACCACAGATGCCGTGAAATTTAGCCCGAGTTATCGCCAGCCTGCGGGATCCAGTTTGTCTCTCCACTTATCTCTGTTCTAGAGAAATGGTTGAGAGGGGCTTTTGATTGTGCTGGCTCAGATGATTTAGAGTCTCTGGGACCTCAGCCTCAGTCACGCAGAGTTGTGCTTGGGTGCCTGGGAGCAAGGCACAGGCAGCACTGCCTCGGCTGTGGTTGTGCGCTGGGGATGCTGGCTCTGAGGAGCTGTTGGGAGGTGGGTCCAAGGATGAGCCCCGGCGCAGCTCTCGGAGCCATGAAGAAAAGAACTGATTTCCAGAGACGGACAGGCGTCACTGGATGTCATGTATGACAAATATCCCCAGAAGGGTGCTAACCCAGTGCTTCTAAAATGGGATGTTTTTAAAAAAAGGAGGAATTCCTCGATATAGTTAATGCAAACATGTTTTCTGGTCTATATGGCACTGAGCCTGGCTCATTCCACTGGATACTAGGGTCTAGAAAATAATGACCTTCAAATAACTACTAAATGCCAATCTGATGTCTGTTTTGCCTTTTTTTTTTTTCCAGGTTGGTTTTTATTTTAATACGAAACAGTGAAGATGACACCAAAACATGAAAAACAAGTAAGTCACATCTAAGCTTTAATAAAAAAGGATTCTATTTGGTGGTTGTGGATTGAATTTGATTAAGATTTACCTGGGCCAGGAAAGGTTGGTTGTACTCTTCATGCTTTAAGTGCCAGGCTATGGAATATTCTGGAGTGTTGCAGTCCAAGTTCCTTCTATTAATGTTTGATGGAAGAATCAAATATTCATTGGTTTGGAGAGAAGGAGATTAAATGACTCTGCATGAGGGGCTCAGACACTGAGATAGGAGAGAGGGACTTGTGCATCAGTCTTGTCTCCATCAGTCATTGGGAGTTCTGTAGGACACTAATGGCTGAACTCTGATTGCCAGATGCATAGACTACAAGAATCACACTTCCACATTCTCTTTGCTCCATCCCAATGAATGTTAAAAGCTTCAACAAATGATTTTGTCTCAGCTGTTAGTCTCTTATCAGCCTTACTACTCAGCATGCGTGGAGAGAAGATGCCAACACTCCCAGTGTGAAAAGCCCCATGTCCGCTGTGGTTGATGCTTTTACTAATAGGCGACCTGATGGGAAACTTTTTTTCTCGGAAGCTTTGTGGAAAATGACTCTTCAGGGGTTATTGACTAATCAGATGTGTAACAGTGGCACCATGGAGCATGAGGTTATCACCTGATATGGTCCTGGGCATGTGGATTGAAATGCAGCTGGAATGAATGAGGCAAATAATCATCCAATGCAAGATTATTTTTATTCCACCTTCTTTTGGTATAGATTTTTTCCCCCCATATTAAAAATAGATATCTCCCTGACAGATTTCCTATTTTCCTAACAGGAAAATGTTAAAAATGGACTTCTCAGAAACACAATTTTTATTGCCAAATTCTGTGTATTGGAGCTTCTGGCTTATCCTTGTCCTTGAGTAATCTATTGCATTGTGCAGAAATATTTCCGACATCAGAAAAGGGGGGAGAGTGGGGAAGAAGGACTTGTGTTAGCTTCAGCAGTTTTTATGTTTTATTCTTTTGAGGCAAATCCACATGGGAACGTTTCAGTTTTCAATACTTGTACATGACCTCAGTGCTGCCCTTTTCCTCTGCTATCAGCATTTGTGGTCTTTGCACAGGACTGTCACTGTGAGGGAATAGGTGTAAACCTATTCGGGGTCACTTTGGCCGTTTTGTGACTTACGTGTGATCCTAACTACCTGGGCTGCTCCAGGCCTTGAGGACAAGGTAGCGAAATGCTACCCGTGCCATCCATGCCTGAACTGTCTGGCACAGAAATCACAGCTGGTTTAGCTGGGAATTAAAAGGCACATCAAGCCACAGAAGCTGATCTGCTAATTCCTGCTTGTTAAGTGGTTATGACTACTTTTTGTAGTAGTCATGACTACTTTGGGGACAGGTTTGCCATTCTTCATGAGGATGTTTGGGCCAGCATGGCTGCTGGGATTCATCTCGAAGCTACAGTGCTAGCAGTTTGGATAGGAAATGTTTTTTGCCTATGAATTTAGCAGTTTCCAGGGAGAAGGAATAAACGATGATGCCACTTGCTGCAGCAGCTTTCTGTTGAGTCTGTGTCATTCCCAGTGTTACAGGCCTCCATGACCAAGCTTGGACACTTGGAACTGTCAGCACTAAGCTCTGGTTTTGAGAGAATTGTTGTGCTTCAGTGTTATAAGAAACATGTCGTACCTGAACATGTGATAGACACATGTGTATTGTGCCCCTCAGTTAAGAAGAAAACTCAAGCAAAAAACCCCAACACCAAGAGAGAAAGTATATATAATGTGGCATAATAACTAGATCTGCAATTCTGGAAAAAAACAAGCAGAACTGGGTAGGGGGGGAAGAAGAAGACACCTTGAAGAAGATTGCAGCTGATGGAAGTAAAAAGTCCCTGAAATCTTGGCTCTCCTTGGGCTCTGCTTCCTGGGTGATAGGCCTGGGCTGCAATGCAGTCTTGTGACAAAAGATGACAAAATAGTCTTCACAGGGGCTGTGGGAAAAAGAGGTCAGCCTCACTTCCCGTAGGTGAACAGCACTTCACTTGAAGACTGACGTGTCTGTTGTGGGTATCCTAATTTTTATAGCAAGATGGGGAGGGAAGGGTGTATGTACAGAGGAGAAAGGCAGTTACTACACAAAACTGCTGTAATCTGGTGACTGTGACCAGTGAATGCAAGATGGACTGAGTGTACAACAGCAATCTCCCAGAGGAATATTCTGCCGCCTAACTTTGCTTGGAACCTAACATAGCCTATATGCGAATATTGGCATTTACAAGCTTACTTTTATGGGGATGGGGAGGCATAAGTACCTTTCCTGGCAGTGCATGTGTATCTATACTGGCAGTTAGGGCTGCTTTCATTAGATTGTTGTCCCAGTGGGGTCTTGTATCCCGGAGAAGGCTTAAAGGTCAAAAGAGAAGGGATGGTCTGCTTGTGCAACACCACTGTTTCAGAGCAGCAGAAACTAACGAGAATTAGGATTATCACTTCCTGGATTCAGTATGTTTATGGGGGAAGTAACCATGGGTCTTGAGAAAGGCTGTACATTTTTGGTTTTGTTTTCTAGTTGCTTAATATTTACCTTGCTTCATTCTGAAGTCAGTGTTGGTATTCTGTGGTAAATAAATAATCAGCCCCACACACAGAGCCAGAAACCAACCAAGCAAAACCCAGCTGGTCTGCTGCTGAAATCCTGGCATTTCAAACAGGACCTGATGCTGTGTGCGAGGGCTGCAGTGTGCCAAGGTGCTCTGCTGTACTGCAGATCACTTTTACTCTTGGCTCAGTGTATAGTGCCTAGACACCTGCCTGCCACAGCATGTATAGCATCTCTCCTTTCTTCCATAGGTGGAGTCCGAAGGGTGCTTGACTTCCTCAGTATCGACACTTGGTGACCATTTAATTGGAAATTAAAAGTGTAGAGAGGGTTTTTTTTTGTGTAGATCATGTGTTCTGGAAGTATTTGCAAGGTTAACCTGTAGCCAACCCACAACATATCCAGTAGAAACTTATAATGTTTTTGGATAACAGAGGTTGATTCTGTACAAAGGAGATGGTTATAGAACATTATTGGGAAGTGAAGTAATTTGAGGAACCTGGACAAAAGGAAGGGCAATGAGAAGCTGATATAGAGGTACATGGAAAGGGGAGTAAAGTTAGGTTATGCCCAGGTTACCTGCAGTTGTGACTTCTGGGATGCAGGGGTTGAAGGGGAGTGCAGTGTCTTGCTTGAAGCTTCCTGGCGTAATTCCTCCTCTTCAGTGTGCAGGCCTGATACGTTTAGCGCTCAAAGAAAAAAAGTATGTTTAGCAGTGGTTGCAGCTCTGGCGAAGAGTGGGACACAGGGAAGTCAGAGGCTGGGGAAGACAAAAGCTTGAGAGAATGTAAGACTATGGATGTGAAAAGATGTTACGGTAGGCAGGAAAAAAACAAACAAACAAAAACCAAAACAAAACCCAACAACAAAAAAAGGCTTTCCTCTCCTTTGTTTAGCACATTGCTCAGGATGGGGAATAACTTCCTCATTACTTCCCCTGGTGTTTTTGTAAAATCAAAGGCATGACCCTCAGATGGTAGAAGTGATTACAGTTCTGTTTATTTGTTCCTCTTGTGCCATGTTGGCAGGGGGTTAAAAAGCTGCAGAGGAGAATTGAGTCTCCAGTGAGGAAAGAAGCGGCAGAGGTGACATGAGCCTTTCAGTTGGGCTTTTTTTGGCAAGGTGCTTGGGGCGTGCACCTGAAGGGTATCCAGCAATAATGCAGAAAACACCCATGTGACTAGGAGCTGGGCTAGGCGAGATAAAACCATGGGCTGTGTCCAACTGTCAGGCCACATCCCTGAAGTAGTACCCCCTGGAAATCAGAGTAGTAAATTATTTAATCCAGAGCATGAACCCCTTCCTGCCACGTAGAGAGTGGCATGTTCTGTTCTGGGAAAAATAATACCCCTTCTGCCCAAGGTTGTCCTTGTTTGGTCAGTCTGTTGGAGGCGGTTGCTGGTGATACGTTGATGTGTGTGTGGTGAGGCGAGAAGACTTGGCTGACAAGGTTTCTTGGTAAAGGTGTCTTTTCTGACACCTGTGGTTTGGGCATGGAGAGACACGTTTTGAAAGCTTTCTAGTTGAGGATTTCTTGATCTATGCAAAGTCGTACTAAAAAAGCATGTTATTTACCAGAGATGCTGTCACTCCTCCCACAGTTAATTCCTGTATCTGGACTCTCGTTCAGTGCCTTCCTCTCAGGGGGAATATATCTACAGCTTGAAATGATATGGTTTTCTTTAACCAAGTCATTGTTTAAGTGATTGGCTTAGCTCTTTGGGCAAATAGCATATTTAAGCAGCTGAAGTAGGGCAGCCTATTTGTTTGCTTGGGAAATAGCATGTAGTTAGGCACAAAGAAGCCTTTTTCATCCTAGTGTGAACATACAGATTTACCAGTCGGTGCTTTTTTTTTTTTTTTAACATGATACAAGTTTTCCCATGGTCATTAACTGAGTATACTTGGAAGCCTGTAACTCTTCAGCCTCTTCCAATTCTTACTAGTGATGCCCAGTTACATGATAGTAATGCCCACAGGTACCTCTCATTCCTTTGTGATCCCTCTAAATTATTATATAAATGTAGGAATTAAAAGGAAAATACTAGGTACGATAACTTATATGGCAAATACTCTATATGATTATCCACCAGAAATGGGGAATTACACTCTGATGTGTTGGTTCCTTAACAGGTTCATGGCAGAGTGGGATAGCAATGCCCAGGTCCTGCATCTTCAGATGTACTTAGGTTCCTGGTGTATCAGGAAGCATATGTGGCAGAGGAGGATTAATCTCCTTCCACATGGCATCTGGGGTGCTAGGCTTGAGATCTTGCATTCCCTGTGTTGAACCTGTATCCGGGGCAATTAATGGTGGTACATCCTTTTCTGCAGGGCTGGAGTGAGTCATATGGGGCACAGAAAAAAATGCAGTTCTTCAGCTTTTTGTGGAGGTACTGAGCACTTACCTCAGATCCCTGAAATCAATGAATATAAATACTTGATTTAAAAAAAAATATAGGTACAATGACAAAAGGAATTCAGGAGCAAATCAAATGCTGTATGTATGTATTGAGTACAGGGAGCAGGTTTGTAACATGTTCTTTGTGAACGTTGACTACAGGAGTGGGAGAAGCCTAAAATACCTGCCTAGTTTTCTTACATGTGTGTCTTTTGAATGTTAGGTTTTTAGTCTATAGCTACTGCAATCACCAAATCTCCCATGCATGAAACATGTATGAATTTTCACAGTATTACTTCATCTGAAAAATTTCTTTTCAGCTAGCAGTTTGGCAAGGAATTTCCCAGACATGTGGCATAGCTCTGATGATTCATTGCTTTTTCTTCTCCTTTTATAGGGTTGCAAAATTCAATAGAACAGCAGTTCAGCTTTTAATCTGAACACAGTAGTTTGTGGAAGAGCAGAGCAATCAAGAGAGTCTTCCAGGCTCCCTTTTTCTTCTGAAATTAATTGCTTGATTTTTATTATGCGCTTGCAGGAGTTTGTAACTGTCTTGGTGCGAGACCCCAGGACACAAAAAGAAGACTCATGGCATTCTTACATAGACTATGAGATATTTATTCATGTGAGTATAAAAAATATTGGCGCAGATTCTTTGGGCTCTTATTGCTGTTTCTGTCCAAGCCAGGATTCTCTTTGGGGTATTAATGGAATTTCTTTTTACACCACTTCTGGGAGGCTGACGGATACTATTCTCCTTTTAACGATTGAGATGCAGTGGAACAGGTAAGGTGGGTTGGTCAAAGGCCATGCAGAAGGTCTGTGGCAGAGCTGGAAGGTGAACCTGGTGTTGTGTTCACGCGTGCGCTCCGCAGTGTCTTGCAACAGAGACTGTTCTTAGCTTTCCCTGTCAACTAGAAGATTGCCGTAGTCGGTGATGTTTTACTGCTATGAAAGAAGTTCGGCGCTCAGGTATTCACAGGTAAACAACTTCCTTTTCAAGTACTTACCTGGTTATTTGTGCTTTAAATTCTCCTGAGTCGTTCTTTTTTGCCATCTTATTTTATTGCTGCAATGTGGCTTTTTTTAGTGTACCTTTACATTCATATTATGCTAGTTTAGTGGTGCTTGGATATGTCAAGTAACTGCATTTGGGTTTATGATTGTAGTCTACCATATGTTAATGGGAGTGCACTTAGAATTACAGTTCTCTTGTGTCTTGAATCTGTCCTATACATAATTTTATTTTGTTGATTATTCTTCTTTGGTGGATGACATATGGAAGGGAGTTATCCTAGTTTCCCAAATCTGGATCCATGGATTTTAAGCAGTGTAAACAAACAAACAAACACCAACCAGCCAAACCAAACGAAAAAAAAAACCCAATTTATGAAGCATCAGGTATGAGGTGAAGAATTTGAGAGCACCAAGTTACATGGTTAATGCTTGGCAGAATACCGAAAGCATTTCCTTCCTCTGTGGGAGAGTTAAGCATTCGGCATAAGAGCAAGCAGTCAAATGATGGCTTATTAAATGTCCATCGTGACAAGTACTTCTCTCCTCTGTGGCAATCAGAGCTGTGAAACTTCTACATTTCTGCAGTGTGGTTTAAGTACTAGTTCCAAAGCAAAGCCTTCTGGTAAACAGAAATTCTGTAGATTTGGCAGGGTGGGTGCTGTATTACTATTTCACTGGTTTTCCCAGCAACTGCTAGGTTGGGGTGATGTCATTTAGACCCAGTGTTATATGACTGAGTGCTGAATATCTCTGAAGCTGATAAGCATCAGCTCAGCTTCCTACTGGCACAATGCCAGGGCAATGGATTCAGAATATTGGGTGTACTAGACTCTTAGACCAGCCCTTCTGTCCAGCACCTAGAGCATTTGGCTTCTTAAACTGTTTGGTGTCCAGGATACTCATCTGTTCCAGAAAGCTGGCATCTTTGGACCCTTTACATTCTGTGTCATGTGGCTGTCTAGGGAGTTGTGGCTCCTGGCAGGCGATTGAGGTGGGGTTGGATTGCGGGAAATTCTATAATGGAGTCTTGTGTGGTAGGTGGGATTTCATCTAAATGTATGCTGTACGGGAAAACTTGGCAAAAACATTTAATTGCTGTGAATTTTTTCTCTTTTGATGAATTAGCATTTTTCTAGTGGACTAATAGTGTTCTGTAGGAAAATTTCCAAATGCTGCTAGTTGCAGAGGGCAGTCGTGTTGGTTACTGTGATTTGATTTAAGTATGACTGTACACTGGAAGAACTCTGTGTAGCTGTTTGCAGGATTATAACTAGAATAGTTAAACATGATTTTTTTTTCCCCTGCAAAGATTGGCATTATCTGCTGAAACTTTTTTTTCCTGAGATCTTTTTTCCTGTTACTGCAAGTTGTACTGTAATCCAGATCTCTTGCTTTTAAAAAAGAAAAAAAGTGATGAAAAATATTTCCCTGAGAAGCAGTAGAAACTGTCACCAGTCCTGTCTGAGGTAAAGCACAGTCCTCAGCCTAAACTGAATTAATGTCAAGCTTTCCATTGGTGTCTCAGGGATTAGCATCTTGGATGTGTTTTAATACCATGCCTGCACCTTATCTTAAGCTGATTTACGAAGTGAAACATTTTTTATTTCCCAACAGACAAACAGCATGTGCTTTACAAGGAAAACATCCTGTGTTAGACGACGCTTTCGAGAATTCGTTTGGCTTCGGCAGAGGCTTCAGAGCAACGCTGTGCTTATGTGAGCAACTTTATGTATGGCTATTTAACAACCTGTCAGTTGTGGAAAGAGAGAATTGTTCAGTCTTAATTTGAGAATGACAGAAGTCAGAGCTGGAAAGTGTCCTGTGTTTCTTACTAGCACAAGTTTATTCCGTACACGGCATTTTCTCTGCTTTAAACTTGGAAGAATGTGGTTTGTACTGATAACCTTTGTTTGGTGAGCCCCCCTCTCTAATTTGTAACAGATTGGATCTGCGTTTCCTTTTGCTATGCACCGGTAGCAGAAATAGCAGCCTAGTGTAGGTGTACGTACCTCCTGTCTGCGCTTTTAGGACATGCTTAGGTTCTGCAGGGACCATAAGACACCCAGCCAGACATGCATGCAGGTGTAACACCTTTACCAGAAAAATCTGGTTTATTTATTTTCCCTTTGAGGTGTTTGGAAAGCCCTCCAGAACCTTGTCTTCCCAAATTTGATTTCATGAGCTTCTAGAACGTGCCCCATGAATTTCTCGTGCTCAGGGTTGGCATTTGCTTCTTGCATTTTTCTCCACTCTTTCAGGGTTGGTTTTAACTGTGTATTTGCTTCTTGTTTATAAAGACAGTTACCTGAACTGCCATCTAAAACTCCCTTCTTCAATATGAATAATCCCCATCATGTGGATCATCGCCGTCAGGGTCTGCAAGAATTCCTGGAAAAGTAAGTACTGCGTATCCTAGAGATGTTGGCATTTTTATGATGTCATCTGGTTTAAAATAGCTCATCTCTGGTACATGAGAGCCACCGTGTGGTTATCTATACATGTTACACATGTATCCTTGTTTTTTATTTGCAAAGTCATATTTCATACATGTGACTTCAGCTCTATTGCTTGCAAGGAAACTCCAACTGGGGCTTTTCCACTGGGGCAGTGGTTATAAATGTTGGTTTTGTATCTATGAGAATGTGCTGGTTTACTCAGGAAACAGTTAATTTTTTATTACTAGCCAAGGTTAAACCATGACAGTCACTCTGCAATTGTAGACTTAGGTTGGGAGATCTTTCACCGTGGTGTCTATTTCAAGCTGACAGGAATGAGCTAGGTATTCTTGCACAAAGGAACAGACGTCTCCCACATGTTCATGCAAAATCAGTGTCTGTGCGGGCTAAACCCCTGGGAACCTGGGAAAAGTCTGTAGCAAGATCTCCTAACGCAGGTATTTCCTATGATCCCAATTACTTTGTTTACCAGTCCTGCTAACATAACTAAGTTCTAGCAGCTGTGGTCATTTTCAGTACAGCTGCAATCTGCAAAAAATCATTCATCAGACTTAGCTAGAGTCTGCCCTGCATTACAAGGGCTCCAGTACTGCATCCCTCAGTCCTGCTGCTCGACCAACTTCACCTTCTGCAGTGGCAGAGACCCTGTTGGTGTGATTTTTCTGCTTTCTCTGCCATTCTCATAGTACCCTAGCTCTGCCCGTGTGCAGGCAGGCTCCTCACAGCTGCCTGGGCAGGAATTGTGGCATACATTTGCAGACTGTCTTTAGCTGCTGCTCAGGGTAAGAGCATGGTTAAACACTACGAGTAGAGACTATTCATCTTTCAGTAGCAATATTTCCATGAACCAGAACGGCATAAGCACTGAAAAAAGGCAAATCATTTAAGTAGGCTTTAAGCCATGTTGTCAGTGAGTAGAGCCACTGTTGACCCACTGTTTTTCCCGTCAGTGTATTATAATTATAAGCCTTCCTAACAGACAACAAATCATAGGTCCTGAGGTATATTTGTTAGGCTTAACAGCTGATGGCTGGGAGAGCTAACTGCTGCAGGAATAATATTCTGTATACTGTTATGTAGCATCTATGGCCAAAAGGATAGCCAGGAAATACTGTTAGGAGGTGTGTGAGACAGGGAAGGGAAAGCTGAGAAGGATCAGAGGTTTTTATCTGCACCTCAAGAAGGAAGGCTGGTGAAATAGTGACTGTGCTTCTATAGGCAATAACATTAATGGTTGTGCAGAGGGTGTAGTAGTTCAGGTCCCTGGGTCTGAGCAGTCCTTGTTTAGCTGTGCTGCCCTGTGGAGGGAGTAGTGTGTTTCCAAAATCACTCTCATTTGAAAATGACGAAGAGGTCGACATGGTAACAAGGTAAAGTCTTTCAGCATCAAAACCACTGTCTGTGTTTCAGAAGGCAAAACAAAGAGATAGATTCTCTTAAAACATATCCTCGCTCTCCAGTTTTGTCGATGTCTGTAGCTTAAATGGATAGTGACAGCAGAAAATGACAGCATGTGGAGTGGTTTAGTTTGCTGCTGTTAGTCCAGAAGAGGGGAAGAAGCAGCATCTCTGTTACAAGGCTGGTATTTAAATGTTTGAATTTGGATGCTGTTTAAAAAGGTGTCAGCTTTCTCTCAGCCCTGGGGGATAGTGGGAAGGAATTTTCAGAGAGGAGTTGTGTTGTGATGAATTGGCTTGGCACCTTACGTGCTGTGCCATTGCCCTCTGCTGGCTGCCACCTCTGCGCTGCTGCTGCTACAGAAGAGGTCTTCCACTGGCTCTGCCAGCCTGATGTGATGCTTTTTTCCCCCCAAAGGTTATAATTTCTTTCTCTGAAATTGCATTTTTGGGCCTCATGGATGCATGTGTATATATTTATACATACGCGCATGCATGCTTGACTTTATTAAAGCTCTAGGTCTGGATGCTGTGTGTTCTGTAGTGTGGCAATGCCAGGGGAAGCAGGACCTATCTATTATGTATTAGTAAGGGTGTAGGAAAGGGGCCAGGAAGTAGTTGCATGGGGTGGTGTGACCCAGAACTGTGAAGCTGAGGGCTCCGTTCACCCTGGCAATGATGGCAGTCACCACACACAAGCTCACAACCCACTGGTGTCTCTTTGTGACAGAGGGAAGAAATGGGGTTCAAGCCTATGGGAACCTGTCCAGGGAGAGGTTTGCAGGGAATGTTTTTCAAATGCCGCATGCAGTGTGGGAATCCGAGCTCCTCTGCGCTCTTGTGAGGTTATCGGCATCCAAGCCATCTCTGAAACGGAATTGTGCCCATTGTGGTGTGAGCAGCTTGCTCTGCCTCTGCCCAGACAGGAGCCATGCACCCAAGGAGTAAGGATTCGAGTGGCTGTAGCCTCTCTGTTATTCAACTCCTGGCCCTGGAAGCTCCTCCATACTGCCTGTATGTGGACAGCTATGGAGTTCCCTTGTCCTCCTTAACGTATCGCTCTAGAATGAGTTAGCTCAGGGCAAGGTGCTTACTTAGAGCCTTGGAGATGCCTCTCTGTGCTGAGCACGGTAGCGTGAGAGTTAGGCCAACAGCTGGAAACTAAAGCAAAGCACTAGAGTTTGGTGAGATCTGGAAACGGGTGTCCCATTTGGATTTGGCTTTACTGCACAAATGCAGGGTAAGACCTGCTTGTCTTATAAGCTATTATCTCTGAGTGATGAAGCTCACTTCTTGTCTGGGCATAATTTAATATTTCAAGAGGCCATTTGCATTAACGGAAGTCAGCTAGCCCCTCTTCAATTATGAATTACACCGTAAGAATAAGGAAAATTATGTGTTTTTCCTGGTAAGTATCCTCATACCTTTTGAGGATGTCTGTAAATTCACAGGAAAAGCTTATTCTTAAATTGGAGATCAAAATGAAAATGCTATCTTATAATGTTAGGTTCTGCAAGATCCTCTCTGCTTTCATCCCTTTTTAGCTGTACAGGTTTAACTTCAGGATTTAGATTATGTTCATAGAAGGTCATCTTATTAGAAAGGTAATTAACAAAACCACTTCAAATGAAGTTGGTTTCAACTGCTGACACACTTTTTTGTTGAATACAGTTGGATCCCAAAAAATTACATGCTTTAGGAAAAATGATTAGTCTCCAATTAGTTTTCAAACATGCAGTTTATGATGGGGTGGAAGACGTAGTAGGAGTTTTGAGAAATGCAGCGCTCGGATCCTTAGGAGACAAACGGCATCCACAGCATGGCTGCTCTGGATGGCTGTGCATTGGGCTCACTTGGTGCCAAACAAGCCACCCAAAACTCGGCTGCCTAGGGCAGAGCTGTTCTCTGGGGGTGACTGGGGTTTTGCCTTCGTCCTCACACTTCCTTCCCTTCCCACGAGCAGGAGCTGGTATGGGGTCGGAGGACTCTCTCCTGGAGATGTCTCCACTCGGTGCGCTCTCAGGGATGCGGAAGGCGGGAGACTGGCTCAGCAGGGGATGGGTGCCAGCTTGTGGGGGCTAAGGCGGGAGCTTTGGTGGCCGTGGGGCAGGTGACATCTCCTCGGGCGAGTGGTGGCTGCCTCTCTCCAATGGAGCCTTGCGAGTATTTCCTAGCTGGTGAGTGAAGTGAGTAATGCCAGCAGGCGTGCGTCGCCTAATCCTTTCTTAAACGTGTGTGCTATCAGATGCTCAACAGTTGCGTCGCAGTTGCTGGCTCTCGGTAACATTTCCTCCCATATAAAAATGGAAGGAGGAAACACAGTGGGCTTTTTAAAAGAAGAAACTGGGGCTTTGTTTGCTGGGGCGAGGGGCTGGATGCTCAGTAGAGGGCACCACAGCACAGGCTGTCATCCCCCACCTCTCGGCTCCGGGGGTGGGGTTTTTTTTCCCCTCCCCTTTGCTCTCATGACGTGATGTAAACGGGCAGAGTAAATTTGTCGAAAACAAAATCGGAGTGTTAACCTTCCACACGCATGCAAGTGTGCATCTGTCATTGTATTAGGTTACAGTAGATACAGGAAATCTTTAGTTAGGATTAAGTTGTACTGTTCAGCCATATGTTCTCCTCCAGCAGAACAGTGTATAATATACCTAATAAAATCATGTTGAAGAAAACCAGATTTTGGACCTTGTCCAAATAAGACAAAACACATGTTTTGTCTTTTGTAAGTGTTCTTGCCATCACACGGGGAAGGAGAAATACTCCTTGTATGGTACCCAGTATTTCATCAAAAATGACATTATTATTTCTTCTGGTGGCGAAGTGACGTTTTTTGGCCTTGCTTCTTAAACGGTGTCGAGATCACGAGCATTTGCTGAAAGCTGACAAACAAAGATTTGCAATATAGTGAGTTAAAAAAAAAAAAAAAGATTTTATTATCTCTAATTCAAACGTAGAGCCTTATCCTGCAGCCCCCTTAATCACATAAGTACTCATTATGCATGTGAGCAATCTGGCCGAAAGGGGTGAGATCTCTGACAAGTAATGACTACTGATGGGATCAAGACTCACAGGATTTAGCCTTTCGTTCTTACTCAAGGCGTGTGCAGAAAGCCTGTTGTTCTCTTAGATATGCCCAGTCAGTTATAGGAATTATCACCGTGAGCCATGACTCTTCCATTAGCGCAACGGCAGCGAGAGCTGATTTACATCGCTGCAACCTCAGCTTCGCACTGACACCGGCTGTAATAAAACTGTTGGGAGAAGCACTGGGAGGGCTACCGGTTGTGTCGGAACTGCGCACGCGTTCAGCCTCTGCTAAGACACCCGAGTATTAATATTATGACGATCCGCCTTTCCTCTTGCCTTTTTAATTTGTTAGGTGGTGTTTTGTAATTTGGATTTTTAAAGTCCTTGGAGCCAAATCGATTTTTGAGACGTACAACCCTTCACACAGGGAGTCCCCAGGATAGCGAAAGCCCTGGGGAGCGACTCCTGTACCCGCACTTAATGCTTCTAGTACCATCTGGTGACAAATGTATGGTTATTCCCTCGAAGGAGGCGTATTTTGACCAGGAAAGCGTAATGCTTACGGATAGCACAGAATTTATTTTTCATTTTGATTGCTTGAAGGATGCAATTAAAAAGCAATCTAACCTGTTGGTTCAGACGGGGGCAGGAAAAGCAGAAGTTATTTTTTAATTAAAGAAGAAATGCTTCAAGAGTATGACTGTGAGGAAGGCGTTCATCTGTTTGCTTTCAGGGTGGTTTTAAACGGTTTGCAAAATGCAATGAGTGTTTGGTCCCTTCCCCCCTTACGAACATACACGTGTATATATATTTAATAGATATTTCTAATACATATATATATGTGTGTGTGATTAGCTTTATGAGCATCTTTCCATTTCTTTGCCTTGGTTTCTCTTCACTCTTTTTACCGCCAGATGGCACTGTGAAGCAGAAAAGAAAATTACTGTGAAATAATGAGTCCAATGTAAAGTAAAATTGGAAATTGAATTATAGCTGCAGAAAAAGGACAGTAGCCTTGAGGTCCTGATCAGTCTGTACTCTTATCACTTTTGTTTGCTGTTCCATGTGTTAGGTTACTGCCGAGTTAATAACAGTGCTTTAGCAGTTCAAGGCTTAGCAGAATTGTACTGGACATGAAATAAAGCTAAAATGAATTTGTGTCCAATATCATTGACATTAGTGCTCATTACTTCTCTGGTGTAATGCCTCAAACCATATAAAATCAATTTTAAAGATTACCCATTATTTTATAAAGGAAATAAAATACATTTCAAACAGCAACAGAGCTGTAAGTGTACTGTAATCTCATGAACAGTTAGTTACTTGTGTTTTCGCTGCTTGGCAGGAAACTTTTGAAGGTACGGCAGGAGGAAAATCTGTGAAACTAAATGCCATCCACAGAATTTGATGTCTTGGTTTTTTTGCCGGGTTACTTGGTATTAGACACGCAAATGTTAGAGTTGCAGAAATGGGCGTCCCCTCATTGTGCTCGTAAGCCTGGGAAAAGCAGTGACTCTAGTTACTCTACAGTAAACTCCAGCATGTTATTTTATATATGTGTGTGTGTATACATACATATATTTGTTTTTAAGAGGAGGTAAAGAGGAAGGAAAAAATTTACTCCCCCCCCACATAAACTATAAACATGGATTTATTACGTGGAATCATACTTTCTTTTACTTTTTGTTGCAATGTTTGCCTTTGTTTGGAATGTACATTTATCAAGAGTCAAGGCTGAAATCCTCTTTTAGTGGCCGATGAATGATGGCTTTTCAGAATGTATGCATGAAGCTGTTGCTGTCAAGGTGTGTAGACCTGTAAATTCTGTGTTTTGAATGTTTATTTTGCACAGCATTTGCTGGCTGCTTTTAGACTATGAAGAAGTTTTTCTGTATATTAGCACACTGCATGCATTGATTTTAGATTATTTGCTATGTTTATTTTTAAGTAAAATGGTGAGAATTTAGATCGGATTAAAAAGGCTTTAGGTATGAAAGCGTGCTTATTTTGAACTTCAGCGAAATCTGGTCCCTCTTAGGCAGAATTTCATATGCACCTGGTCGATCATTAGGCTCATTGCAGACATTTCCTCATTGGAAGGTGTCAAAGTCTGAGTTATTTGCTTGAGACTGTGTGTGTGTGTTCACCTAGGCAAATGAAATATGCATGTACGCAAATATCCTGCATTTTCAGTTAGGTAGCTCTTATTACTTATTTTGATTTGACAGATTTTAGTAGGCTTAGATGAAGCTGGAAATCCTTCAGTGTATTTATTAAGCATTATTATAATGTTGGCCACTTTAGAGAACAGCTTTCAGAATGTATTTGTGTTTTAAAACGTTACAGTCCAAACACACCATTAATCTTATTTGAGAGAAGGAACTAATTGGTTATACTTTTCATTTTAGTCAGAGTACCTATGGAATGCAATATTTCTTGCTGCTCTTACTAGTTCTTACATTAATGTCATCTCTAGTTTTGTACTGCATAGCAATGACTTTTTTTGGTAATTACTGTAACCTGGGTAGAAATAGGTAAATATTATCTCAATGGTTTTGATTTGTTTAAAGAAATTTTAATAATTTTCTGTGGAGCACTGTTTGGCATGGTCATAGGCTCTGACTTCATTACATGAGTAAAATCACATGTACATATAAACAAAAGAGTTCAGTGTTAAACATTCTCTCCTTTAGAGAAATGTTGCAGCAAAGTTGCCTTCCCCCCCCCCCCCCCCCCCCCCCCAAAATAGTGTTGATGATCCTCAATTCTCAGCCCTTGTAAAAGTATCTCTACAACTTTCTGTTACTGGAACATATTTTATTTTGTTTACTCTCACTTGTTCTATGTGAAAACTGTGTGCTATATTTATTTGAAGACTTAATTTAAAATATATATAAACCAATGGTGAAAATGGACTTTTGAAAAGAATAGCTGGAATGACATAATATTTAAGATTCCCTCTAAACTGTTTGCAAGTAAATTTAAATGTGTTCAGTGTTAGCATTTTTATTCTAGCTTAGATACACATATTTGTAAAAGTGTAAATTATTTTGGCTAGTGTTGGCCGTGTTTGTTTACAGGTATTCCAAAGTCCTGACACTGCATGCATCTGAAGTCCTCTGTACACACTTCTCCCCCACGAAAAAAATTTGCTGACTTCTGATTTTTAGAAAAAACTTACCTATTAAAAAAAAAAAATTCTCAAATGGAGACCGAATTTTTGTAAGAGTATACGCCTCCAACTGCCTAAAAATCATTAATTGATCCATGTGGTAATAACAGATGGTTAAATGGAAGAAATGTCCTTGAAGTTATTCTAATAGCAGATGTGCCTAACTATTAGCTTCGTGTTTTTACTCACCTAAAATTCCAAATAATGTAATAAGAAAGTAACATACACCTAATCATTTTAATATGTTCATTACCTTCTGTTACTGATTTGGGATTCATCTGAAAACTTAAAAGCAGGGCATCATTTAGAATTTGTTCTGGTAAAATACTTCAGAATATATGGATGTTCGTGTATCTGTATAAAACCATTTTATTTTCTTTTTCCAGGATCCTACAACATGCATTATTGCTTTCCGACAGTAGGCTTCACCTCTTCTTACAGACCCAGCTGAGCCCAGAAGATATGGAGGCTTGTGTATGTGGACAGACCAAATACTCTGTTGCTGATGCAATTCATAAGTTTGCCTCCTTGAACAGACGTTTCCCTGTAGAAGAGGAAGAGAGAGAAAAAGGAAAAACCGATGCAGACTCTGATTCAGAGAGGTGATTTCTGTATTTCTGTACTTTCTGAGATTATATATACACACATACGCACGCGCATGCTTCACTTTTTTTGTTGATGTAATACTAAGATAATGAAAAAATTAATTGACTGAGATTTTATTGAGCTGTGACAGCTCATCATAGAAGTCTTCACACACACCTCCACACTGAATTAATGAATGCAGTAGAAATTCAATTATCTGCATTCTGATTATGTGAATTTCATTTAGTCAGACTTGAATTATTCGCGTTTAAATTATCTTGCTAAAAAAATATCCAACTGCACTCCAAATGGCTAATTAAAAGTCCAAATTTCCTGTCTCTCTTTGTGACTGGAGATAATTAAAGTTCTCCTCTGTTACTCAGGCTTTGAGTGTGTTGATGAAACCAATTTCCTCCTCTTTTTTTTTTCTTTTTTTTTTTCTTTTTCCCTCTCCCCTTTTCTGCAGGTCATCCTCCCGGCTTGGACCTAGTGATGACAGCGTTTCATGTGGATGTAAAGCAAGCCCAGCTTCTGAAGAATCATGAAAAATCATTCCTGTGTTGCTATTTTAAGGACAGTACAAAGCAGTTTCTGTTCCGTTCACGGGTTACGTGCACGATGTAAATGCGGCTAGCGCGTACCTACAAGACACGTCGTCAATACAACCCTGTGTCCTTATAAAATTTTCAAAACAGGCCTTGGTACTTTTGTTGATTTACGTACGTTGATTTGGGTCTACAAGCTACCTATTGCGTTTAGGTTCTTCTGACTATCAATATTGAATTTGTCATGCTCTGCTGACACATGTGGCAATTAAAATATTTCCCTTAGTGAGTCCATGTCTTGAATCTGGGGGGAGGGCGGGGAAAAAGATACCTTAATTCCTCAGCTTAAAAGTTGGTATATCATATCAAATATATTCAAAGCATCTTTTTGTAATTTGCATCAGAGAAGTTTCATCTTTAGAAGTCATTTGACATTGGTGATGAAATTACATACCCCACAAGGTATTAACTTTTTAAAGTAGCTCAGCAACATCAGCAAAACAACATTTGCACGAACTACACGCTGCTGACAATTTGAGATATAAATATATCTTCCTCTGGTCTTTCTGTAATGTTTATGGAAAGCTTGGAGTTATCATGCATAGGAACTAAAGGCCAAAAATCTTGAACGTGGCTGCTTACAAGTTAGAAATATTAATAAAAACATTTTCTAGGCTTAGTGGAGATTCTCAGTTCCCAGGGAATTATGCCTAGTGAAAAATCCTGGCTGAGGTCTGTTGAAACCAATGGCTGAATTTTGCATCGACCTCGCTAGGGCCAGGATTTCACCCAGCATGTTTAACGGGTAGGCACCAATATTTGACGATGCTGGGGGAGATGTTTTGGTTTAGCAGCTGAAACGGAGAGTATCTCCCTCTCGGAGAGGATGATAATCACCCAGCTGTAACGCTCTGTACGGACGTGGACCTCTCCGCTCTTCGGAGGTAACGGGAGCTGCTGATTTCATTGTGGCTGTAGTTAACACGTTGCAGTATCGACTTTTTTCACAAACAAAAGGCAGGCTTGAACACAACTCATAACCACCAACACTTATTTTGATTAAATGTCAGTTTTGCTCTTTATTGTTAACAGCAGCTGCGTAGTGTCTTGTCCCAGATTCTGTCAAAGGAATATGTTTCACTGTGGTGTTGTGTTTATATTTGACATTTAACGGCTATTAAAAATTGCTGGGGGGGTCTGATCACCCCAGCAAAGCTCCCATTAACTTCAGTGCTGTAGTTACCATCCTAGAAAGGAAGATACATATATATGGATTTTTTTTTTAATAATTCTGTGGATACTTTCAAAAAAGGAGCATTTAAAACCTGTGAATTACAGAAACAATAGATTATTTAAATGGCCAGCTAATAAAAGGTAGCATAGGCATGTGTGGGCATGCTTTTTTAAAGCATCCAGCTGGGAATCTGTGTAATTTTAGAAACAACGTTTTAATAGCCCGAGGATAACATCTCTTAGGTAACTACTTTAAGCCACTGTATTTTGTTGGTGGTAGCACTTTTCTAAGATAAATGTCTGTCCATGTTTCTTTCTGCCGTGTCTTACTGAATTGAACAAATGTATCTATTCACCTTCTCGACTTGTGTGAGAGTTAGCAGCAATGCTATTTTAATGTAAAAGGGGTAACATTTAATTAAAGCAACAGGTTATCACTAAAAGTATCTTACAAAATAGCTGCTATTGCCAGGTGGAGATTTTGATTACTTGACTTTTTTTTTTTAAGATGGCACATTACCAGGAAAATTATTTAGCTAATTTATTTCAAAGATGGGGAAAATACAAAACCAAAAACTGGAATATTGCCTGAGAAAGAGATTAATGTTTTTATTTAATGCAGTGTCACGGTAGTGAGTTTTTATTTTGTTTTAAAAGACTGAGCTAAACTGTTGAAGCACTTTACAATTCTGGCCTACTAACACATCTTCAGTATCTGGCAAAAATTACAGGATTATGAAGTTTGGAGAGCCTTTGTGGCTAACTTTTATTTTTTAATTCTAGGAGTTTGTCTGTATCCCAGTGAGTGTTTTCCAAATGAAGATGTTTCTGAAATAAATATTTGTTTCCTAATAGTTCTGTTGTTGTTGTTTTTTTCATTGCCCTATTCAAAAAATTCCAAGACTACTATAACAAAACTTTCTTCCCAGGCTTGACAGAAACTTGTTTAAATATTTTGAATGTTGCTTGTGTAGTTAGTATTATTGGAATTTTTCTTATGAAAGGGGAAGAAAAAGTATTCTATGCTGTAGTATGTCTTCTTTATGTATCAGCTGTATGTAACTGCAAGTAAATGCTTTAAGAGACTAATTTGGAACACCAAATGTAATTCTTACAAATTTAAACGTAAATAAAATATTTTTAATGTCTTTTGTGACTTCAATGCTTTGGTGATTTTTGTTTTCAACACTATGTGAGATATTTTGATCAGATGATCACTGGTATTTTCATTCTCATTTTTTAGTTTTCAATAATGCTGATATTTCCTGCTAGTTTTTTAAACAGGATAATATCTAGTTTATAATGGCATCTAATTACTATTGCTAATTTTTATCTAATTGCAATAATTCTGCACTCAAAAGGTTTGCTTTATCTGTTGCTTAGAACTTTATGTTCTCATTTTATGATGATTTCTTAAAAGCTTTTAAGTAATCAAATAAAAACGAGTTACTACTTTCTGCCTTGCGTTTTAAACCTGCCAGTAAGGTTTCCTTTATTTCAATATCAATATCCTAATCACTTTATGACTTACCATGTGTAATTACTCTTCAGCTGTTTATATAATGTGTGTGTATACACACACACACACAAACAGAGGGTTGTTTGGGTTTGTTGTTATTACTGTTTTTGTAGAAGAGGTAAAGAAGTGAAAAAACTCCAATGGTATGTGCTGTCAGATTCTACAACATGTAACTTCAGCGTATTCTAAACTACTATTAAGCAACCTGTTACTTACAGTGGTGGTGAAGTATACTTTTAAGACAGACAGATGTCTTTTGGAATGAAAATTTTCATTTAAACAGTAATGTAGTTTTATAAGCATTGAGGAAAACCTACACTCCTAAATGCCCCACCGCGTAACGCGGCAGAATTCTGTGTCCAAGCCTTTCTTTGATGTGTGCTATACTGATTTTTTTGCAGAGCCCTATTTAAACTCTATGAATTACATGTCGGTGTGGTCAGCACCGGGCCGAACAGGACGCTGTGTTCCTGTATCGCCTCCCGCGGTGAAGGCCGGAGCGGGGCTGCGTTCGGGTCTCTCCGTCGGCACCGCGATCCACCCCTCCGGCGGCAGGTTGGCTCGGCCCGTGACAGGCCCGAACAGGGGCAGCGACACGGCTGTTCCCGTCGTCGCGGTTAAAAACTCCCTAAAACGTGTTAAATCACCTCTTTTCCTTCTGCAGTAAAACCTCCTTAGACAGTAACGCAAGTCGCCTTTTAAAACAGAAATAAAACTTTGTCCGTTGTGCTTAACCCC